GGGGGGGGTCAAATGTGATCAGGGACTGTTGCCTTGTTGGGAAACTGTAAACATAATAAAATACCCCTTTTCAGCTTTCCTTACCAGTGTGCAGTTGCAGGGGCTTGGTTGGGCATTGCCATTTTCTGGTCAGCTCTAAGATTTTGAGCATTTCTGTTCACTGCTACTCAGTTTGCCATTTACCAATAATTTGAATGGATAGATAACGTAACTCTTGAAGCATCTGTCTTTTCTCTATTTCTCATTGGAGTTTTCTCAATTTTCAACAGCATTTTAAAGAATTAATAAGATTAAATGACGTCTTTAACTTAGTGATTAAGACTAAGATATGAAAACTTAATAAGAGAGGTCCACGGATTTTAATCCCAGTTTTTGTGAGTTTTAGTTAATTAGACGATTATTATGATTTTCTTTTGTTTATTTTTCTTTGTCATTTCATTTCATTCATTAAGTTATTAAATTGAAATAATTGTATTGTATTTGCACAGTGTGCGAATTTTATTAAATATAATATTTAATATTATGGCAATAACTTAAATAATTCAATTGTTATTTTTTTTTTGTTAAAATAAAAAGATTTTGAATTCGAATCACATGATATGCGAGTGAAATGAGATGAAAAATGAGAGATAATTATCTCGTGTAACCAAAATAAAAGAAAAAAATCTTTAGTACTATATATTTCACATAAATAATAATGTGGGATGATATACAAAATATACCAATAATGTAAATTAATATCATACCATAAGTTGCTATTAAAATTTTTTTTAACAGGTAATGAATTATTATATAAGAGAGAAAATATGCACCTGACCCTTTGAGTTAACTGACGTTTTATGAGTTTAAGTTGCATTCTCCCTCTTCATGAGCGGGTTTCGAGCCCATTCTTGACAACTTATTCAAAAAATATATATATGTATATATATAAAAGAGGAAATATATAATATTAAGAGTCCCACGTGTGCTAGTACTAGGATAAAACTTAACATAGGCAAACTCGATAACAATTGTGATGATCACATTTTGCCAATCATATGATTAACTTCTTGACAATTGTTTCCAAACCAACACATAGGTGGTTAGATTTTTGTCCCAAGTGGGTCAGTACACAAAAGTATAGCATTGCACTTAAAATCGAAATGGAAGTAGTAACATAAAGGTTGGGTGGTTTTTTTTTTTTTTTTTTTTTTTTTGTTTTTAAATAAAACAATATAGTACCATAAAGTTATTCTTAGGTTCATTGATCCAACCAATGTACTTTCACTTTGGAGAAATTAGCTTAAAAGTAGAAGAGCCTACTGGCCTATTGGCACGTTGGGGTTGGCCTACAAGCAAAAGGGAGCATCATTTTTGTTTTTATATTTGCAACTTTTTTTTTTTACGCAAAGTTTTTTTTTTCTTTGTGGAATTTTTTTATTAAAAGTTAAAAAAGTGAAAATGTGAAATCATAAAAAAAAAAATTTGGGGGGTGTTAAAATACCATTAAGATCTCTAGTGGTTGATTTGTCATTACATAAAATAATCATTTTATTTTAACCTATCTTTTTTTTTGGTTTGTTTTTTTGTTTATGCCATTTCAAAAATTAATTGCAAACAACAATGATTTGAGTTTTGTCGCATTTATCAACTGGTATCATTGTAGAAGAGAAAGTAGAGTTAGAATAAGTGTTCCTTAAGGAGAGGGTTATACCAATTGTTGGATTGAATTTTTAAAAGGAGTTCTTTCAAACGAGAACAGAAAATTTTAGAACATTCCTTACAAAAGAAAAGTAGCTCCAAGTACTTAAATTTCCCACAAACAAAAAGTATCATGCTTTTTGTTACATTTTCCCCCAGCAAATAGTATCTAAACTGGGAAAAAAGAAAAAAGTAAAAACAAAACTTCTATCTAAAGGGTTTCATTTTTTATTATTTAGTGTCTGAACTATTTAAAAAA